AACTGGCAATTATTGTGTTTATTAGAAATATTGTACAAAGAACAACTTCAACGTTATTTTTGTGTGTGTGTGTTTTTGTTTTGTTTTGTTTTTTTCTTGTTTTTTTTTTTTTTGATGACTTACAAGATCTGCATCTCTTAATATTTCAAATTTTAAAGTTATTTATTAAAAGCGGAAAACTTTACTATAAAGTTCTATACATATAAACAAAGTGTGTCAGTCTAAATGTTAAAATGAACAAAAATATATGAGAGTGAACCATTGTTTGTTTTTTGTTTTTGTTTTTTTGGGGGGTCTCTTTCTCTTTTAGTCAATAATATATAAAAAAATTAAATCCATATTTGTATTTTTCATTGTATTATTAAGGTGTTTTTATATTAACATTTTCGTGGCACTTCACTGTAACATAAATGGCTGCGTCCAAAGCACTTTGCATGTCCTCTGTATTAAATCGTTGCCATTCTCGATCGGTGAAAGGAAGGCACAAGTTATAAGTATGTTTTTGTTTCCCTACCTGTACAGTAATTCAAGCAGTGGCAATATATATATATATATATTAGCTTCAGGTGGTATTGTTTGTAATTGTTAATGGGGAAACTATTTCATCAGGACTGCAATTCTATTGATGTATACACTGCAAAAACTACCTGAATGGTTATGGACGTTGTAATCGAGCGTAGATATGTTTCTATGATTGTTGGTGACGTAATCCATTCTCAATGTTATTTCAAGAATCCTCGCAAGGAAGCCTCCTGTCTCATATCTGAAAACGTCACGTTTTATCTCCAAATTATATGTTTATACAATTAATGAATAGTGTTACGTCACGTATGATAAATATAAAGATGAAATGTCAGCAGTTGTGAGAATCTATTTTGAAACCTCAAAACATGAAGTTTAATAAAAATCCATGTTGTCAAAAAAACAATTTAAACGTGTTATTTTTTTTTTTTTTTAAATTATGAATAACACATTTTTTTTTTGGTTGCTTCAATCTAAACTTTAGTGACTATTTTATTTTATAATGTACACGTGCTTGGGGTGAAAAAAAACCAAGAAAAGAAAATTAAAGTTGAAAAAAAAATAATTATAAAATTATAACGTTACTTTTGTTTAATGCGTTAATCAAACCATAAATGATTCTCTTGGTATAAACGTATGGTTGAAACGACGTGTTGAATAACTGTGCTAAATAAAAGTGTGATTCTTATGAAGGGCGTTACTTTAGTGCATGTTCACTGCTCAAGTGACTTCAGTCAATGGGATGTCTGCTAACGCTTTTGTTGCCGCCATTGCTTGGCGGGTGTTCTCTAGTTTCTGTATACAATTTCGAAAAAGCAACATTTAAAAAAGAAAATAATATGTTTGATTCCATTTGAGCTTTGTATTTGTAGAACACTCACCCAGACCTTCTCTCGCTATTTCAACCTGTACGTTATTTAAAGCTAGTGATACTAACAATATTCAATTTAACTCTTCTATCAAGTTTATATAAAACATCAAATAAACATAAATAAAAACTATATCAACTTACAGGACACAAAGGTGAAAAGTTTAATCCTTGAAAAATATAAATATCAACACACACCTACACACAAAGAAAACGCTGCGTTTAAAGCGTTCGCAGCCGACTTTCCCAGAGGGTCTGGGCGGTTTTGCGTCCACTTTGGGAGAAAAGGTGTAGCGTTACCCCCCCCCCCCCAATTCAAAATCCAGGGAGTCTTTCGGTCGGGCCGAAGAGCAAAGATTGTCTTAGTTATATATCTAACACGGCATTCTTAAATTATTTATTTTAGGTCAGTGGTCGGCAACTCATGGTTCGATTTAAAGCGTTCGCAGCCGACTTTCCCAGAGGGTCTGGGCGGTTTTGCGTCCACTTTGGGAGAAAAGGTGTAGCGTTACCCCCCCCCCCCAATTCAAAATCCAGGGAGTCTTTCGGTCGGGACGAAGAGCAAAGATTGTCTTAGTTATATATCTAACACGGCATTCTTAAATTATTTATTTTAGGTCAGTGGTCGGCAACTCATGGTTCGCGAGACGCATGCGGCTCTTTAGCGACCTGAGTGTGGCTCGGCCAGTCGGCCACCAAACAGTTTTGACTCCTAAAAACGTGATTCTTGACAGTTTCTTGAAAAGAAATTTTGATCTCAATTTTCTTTTAATCGTCCTACTGCCGATTTTTTCCTCTTTTGACAAAATGAGTTTGCCGACCACTGAGCTAGGTGAAATAAATTTAATAAATAGCTTTCTTACATTGAGTTGATTCTAAGAAGAAGATTCCCCCTGTAAAACGGGAGATCATTTTTTTTTCAGTGAATACAGTGAATCAGGGCAGAAGGTGCTACCATTATATAGAGATTTTAAAGGTCGCACTGAATTCCGCGTTCTTTGCAAATCGATAATAAGCTCCGTGTTTAGGCTGATCGATCGACTCCATACGGTATGAACCAAAGATACAATTCTCTAATCCTAGTGAAAGCTTAACATACATTTTGAAATTCCCACAAATTACATGCGTGTCGTTAATCGAACAGCATTGCTTCCATGACTTCTCAGATAACGCCGTACGTGAAGGAGCGTTTGAAAACACCTTGGCCTCGAAGAAGTCGCAACAGTGGCAAAGGTAAAAGAATCCGGGCCTTAAAACCCTTTTAAAGTTTCGTCGACTGAAGAACGTAAAAAATGTAGGCCATTGTTCTTGTTGAAAAAAAGAAAGAAAGAAAGGCCGTACATAACGTACACCCAGGACACAATACTATTGACAAATCTGACACTGAAACCTGGACACGACTCAATCCGTTCGGGACCACGCGACAAGACTGCTGAACCGGGACGATCCCTGTCAAACATTAAGGAAGTTTACCATACGCCCCAGTTTGACTGGGATCGTACCGTTTAGCAGCCATGCCACGTGGTCCCGACCGGATTGAGTCGTGTCCAGGTTTCAGAGTCAGATATGTCAACGTTCGGTGTCCTGGGTAGTCTTACCATGCGTCCCAACTTCAAGAAACACATGTACAGTTATCCAATGTAACACAAACTGGATTCTTAGAAACTTATTTAAAGCTCATTTTTTCCTCCATCGAATAGCACTATTTTTTTAATACAAGAATGCGGGAAAAAAAGTTTTTCTATTTAAAATGGTTATCTTTTTTCACCGTCATACATATTACGTCATGCTTTAAAATAAGAATATCCAAGTTACAGGAAATGATGATTATTTATATACAGTGCTGACAACTATAACTTATTTTAGACAAGTTAAAATAAGCTCACATAAGATTCCGTAGCGCTTAAGCTAAGGGAACATCGGGAAGGATTGTCAAAGTTTAGGGTAAGGACAAACTTTTCCAAGTCTTAAGAGACTTATTAAGAAATATTATTTAATAATTTTCTTTATAATTGTTGTGTGTTTCAATTTTAAAGCAGGGCATTAAATAAATTACATTTACATGATGTTGAAAAAAAATCAATTATCTATTTACCAAAACTAGTCTTTGTATAGTTTAATTCAGTGTATACTATATTTTAATTAGATCACATGAATCCCGGGATCGCCCAAGATACGGGATGAGTGAGAATTTTTTCACGTTTTCCTGGGATAAGCGAAACCCTGGGAGATGAGAAACCTTAACTCTAACCCACAGACGTTTACCGCTGTATGCAATGCTTTATTCTTATCTTGAAGGCATTTCGTACTTCACGCCTAGCGTCACAAAATAGCGGAGCAGTATTATGATGGCGCCCCATGTTTTAATGATATCATCATCTGACTATGTTTACATGATTCAGCTCTTGCAGCCAGTGTTTGGGATGTTCCTACTTTATCCCCCAGGACGTAACTACAAACATGATTGGACTTTTTTTTTCCTTTACTTTTAGTGTCCACTACATTCAAATTTGTCCCGGAAGCCCCACTTACTTTAAAGAGAATCGGTAAGGCGAAACCTAGAAGATAAGCTCTACCAGACTGTTTCTAGTATTAAAATGCTAGCAGTAAGCAGGTCTGCACATATAACGATAAGATGACAAGAATTGTTCGCGACCAAATGTATAGAGTGAAACGCGTGTGTGTCCGTCGGCCATTGCCCCCCTGTTTTTAAAGACAACCCTTCTAAAAATATTAATTGCAGCACTTACGTTAAAAGAGTTTGCACAAATCTGCATAGCTTTTGAAAATTACACGAATCCTCCAAATAGAGTTTGCTATTTCTAAGACCGGAAAGCGTCACACAGCTTTGAGAGATGTTACTATTTTTGGAGATTTTTTTTTGTGCAAAACATAGCTCCTATCAATGTATTTACGCATATATCTAGCAGTAAGAATTTGTTTGTAAAGTATTTCGTAAAATAAAGTTTTAATCACGTTGGTTCTGCCGTTAAAACCCACTAAGCCGACTCAATTAACGTTGGAGTACCTAACGGCACTTGAAAAGATTTACCAACGTTATGCCAGGGTTTTCTATTAATATCTCATTGAGACTGGCCAGACTTAACGCCCGGATTTTTTATTTATAGATTTCCCCCCTTACATGACAAACCCTATTATGCTTGCTGTTATTTAAAGTTCCCTTGATTCTGCCCCCCCCCCCCCTTGCCTATGAGGATTATGAGTGTGTGTTGTTTGTTCTTTTAAAACCACTTTGAACTGACATCTCACTCAACTCTCACCTAACATCCAGCCTACCATCAAGCCTAGGATCCAGTCTAACATCCAGCCTAACGTCCAGCCTACCATCCAGCCTAGGATCCATTCTAACATCCAGCCTAACGTCCAGCCTACCATCCGGCCTAACATCCAGCCTAACATCCAGCCTAACATCCAGCCTAACATCCAGCCTAACGTCCAGCCTACCATCCGGCCTAACATCCAGCTTTACATCCAGCCTAACTAGGTCGGATTGTAGGTCGGATTGTAGGTCGGATTGTAGGTCGGAAACATCCAGCCTAACATCCAGCCTAACATCCAGCCTAACATCCAGCCTAACATCCAGCCTAACATCCAGCCTAACATCCAGCTTTATCAAAATAACATCTGATTCATTTTGACAGGGTGTCAAGTGGTGGCCTCATACCATCGAAGTCCGTAAATTACAATTACTCAATAAATACCAAAATGTTGAGAACCGCCGCTATGTATTGCAGTGTAAAAAAATATACCTATATTTGCATGAGTGATTTGGGAAAGTGAAGAAACAGTGCAAAGTCACAGACTAGGTTTGACGGTCATTTCAAGTAACGAACGGACGGCAGTCTAGTCTAGAGAACATTTCAAGTGTAGTGATGTTTTCATTTCAGCTGGAGGACTTGAAACGTGACGCATGCCGCACGCAGCTGGCAGTTAAAAGATGCTAAAAACATCACGTGATTTTGTCGCACTTCATACAAATTAAAGCAAGAATACACTTACTTATGTGTAATGGTAACAGAAGCTAACGATTTTCTTCACATACCTTTTTAAAGAAGATCATTGTTCCGCATATCGGCCAACATAGATCAGGTATGTATATTTATTATTTTGACTCCTTCAATAATATGTGGAACGCCATCTACAATACATAAACGTTATTCATTATCGATGCCAAGAATGGAAGTCATCAACCGAAAATGCCCAAATAATTGTATGGAACTAGAAAAGTCAGTGTCGTGTGTACTCATGTGTGAAGATATAGAACTGTGTCCACTGCTCATATATTAAATTAACATTGTTCACGTTTCTGTTCAACTTACAGAGCAAACATTTATTAACGCACAACAATGAAAAACTAATTATAAATAAATTCTCGACCCATTCCTTCAACAAAATCAATTATGAAATTTCTAAATAGAGCATTAAACAAAATCATGAACCATTAAAATAAATATTAATATTACGATTATTTAAAAAAAAAAAAGAAATAACCTTTGTATTTGAACACTTTGCAATAAGTTTAGGGTATAAACCAAGGCTTAGCTTAAATATAGACCTTGAAAATGTCAAGCAATCGGTATATAAGGCAATGTTTCATGGGTCGCATCGTTTTGGTGGTTTGTTATGGGTGATGAAGACGAGCTTTCCCAAATCAGTTAGAAGAGAGTGTGGCAGATGTGCTTCTCGCCTAGACAAGTCTGTAACAGGTTGTCCAGTAAGACGGTGTAATTTAAATATAAATAAACCAAAATGCGTTTGTTTGGAGAGTATCATTTTAAATCATGACAAATGCTTAGTAAATAAATCATAAATGTTATCTTACAACACGGAGAATTTAGAGACTTTAAAGTTATTGACTTGTCATAACGAAAGGATTTAAATTATCTCTGCCTTGGAACATCAAAATAGCTTTGCAATGATTGAAACTAGAAGCTTTTAAATACAGACAAAACACAGAGATTGGCGGGGGGGGGGGGGGGGGGGGGGGGGAGCAATTCTTTTTAAATACCTGGAAGAAAAAAAAATGATATTTTCATTTAGCCTCTGAAGCAACATTCGCTTTTTTTATTTGAGAACGCAAATGCACACACTTCTTTTAAAATGACAGGGTAAAACATTATGAGTATATTGGGAAATGTACACGCTCATTACTACGGGTTCAGAAATGAACATGTCAAAATCTATTTCACAGTTAAATTAGAAAAGGATAAAAATGAAACCAAAATTAAAATAAATATATATCCCTAAAGCACCGACCTAGATACATAAATATAATATAACGTTTGGCGAGATAACAGAGCCTATAATATATCTAAGTTCTTGAGCTTATCAAACCATGGCACCTTGCGTGACGCAAACGAGAACTTAGCTTTAGATTTATCATCTAAAATCCGAAAGCGGCTTAGGCCTAAACTTAATTTGTTTGAAACGATCTGTTCACTACAGAGCGGAATACGATACATTCTACATTTTCTAGAAAACTGGAAAACAATTTACACCTCCGTGGACGCCACTTCCACTTAGCTAATCGTAAACCTGGACAGTTACGTAATGGTAAGCCTTTTACAATTATATTTTCGATATTAAATTGATTGTAAATCGATAGTTTTGAGTTGATTCAAAGCCTCATCTAAAATCCTAAACTGCTAACCGAGTCAAATTGTTTTCGTACGTAACATCCTCAAATTCATTTTAATGTAAAAATATATTACCTTTACTTGAACCTTCTTCTACTATGGAACGGTAAGATAAAACAATAAGACATTGACCTTGAAACGACCAAAATTATTTTTCAAATTTATTTGAGTTGAAATTCCTATTTGCATTTTAACATTTTTAAATTGGTATTGAAATTGTATCAAACGTAATAATACAATTAAATTTAAAAAATCCGAGACCTTAGGCCGGTCTGTTTATAGTGTAAAAGAATTTCAATTCTACATATTAATAGAGGTGACATTGCATAAGATTATAACCCGTAGAGATTCGCCCTACATAAAGCACTTAACGGTGTCAGCAATCAAATAATGTCACTGACAAAGTTACTTAAATACCTGTCTATAAATAAAGCTTACGATCCTAAAAATAGCACAGCGGAGCCTTAGAGAATGCAATGGAAGGATATCAAATGCTGGGGTTGGGGGGGGGGGGGGGCAAGTACAGGTTATTAGAATCGTATTTTTAATGGCTTTAACCGATCCCACCCCTCCCCCGTTTCGTTCCATCTAAAGCTTTGCCCTTACTACTGACAGGCTCAACAAATGTACTAATTAGACGAACAATTTTGTGTCAATAAAACAAGATCTGTTCAGCTTTAATGATTCTACAAAATATTAATGTAAATGTTTCGGCAAATGCCTTCGTCAGTACAAGAAAACAAAACATTTAAAAAAGTATAAATTAAACTTATTACATAATATATATTTACATGTATCCTATCTAAACAAAATTGAAAAGACTAAGGTTGGGCGCAAACCCAGACGCAAACAAAGTTAGGAGAACGGAGAGGAAGTGAGTGGAAGTAAAACTTACAAACTAAACAGGAAAAAGACATGGCACCTATCTAAAATTGTAGATTTTACCAATTACCCACCATTTAAGAAATAGCTAGCATACTTAGCGGCAGCAATATTTTTACTGTGCAAACTCGGCTTTTTTTTGCGCATTGAACTTGATAAACATTGTAAAGATCTTACAATTTTTCATTGCACCTTTTGGAAGTTACAAGTTTATGAGACTACTGTTCGGACTAAATTCTTCTGCAGAAGTATTTGCTGAAAGGTTCCGCCAGGCTTTTGAAAACCTTCCAGGTGTTGAAACTTACATTGACGAATTTAATCACATCAACTCCATCCCCTTATAGCTTTCTTTGATTTCTAACAGCCAGTCAAAATGTCAGTGGATGCTTCGCAAGAAGGACTTGGGGCAATATTAATTCAAAGTAAGAGACCAGTGGCTTATGCATCTAGGTCTTTAACAGGGTTTGAAAAAAAGATATTCTCAAAGAGAAAAAGTAATGCTTGCCGTAGTATTCGTTGTTGAACATTTTCATTTCTATGTCTATGTGCGCGATTCACAATAGAGACAGATCACAAGCCACTGGAAGTTATCATCAAAAAGCCCTTTTCATCTGCACCGCCCAGGCTTCATGGGATTCTTCCACGACTCATGAAATATGAAATAGTTCTTAAATACAAGCCTGGTCAAGAATTAATGTTTATCCCATACACCCTCTCACGAGCATCCCTACCATGTCATTATCCATCAAGTGACAACTGGGACGCCCAGGTTCATCTAATAGTCAGCAGTCTACCTATTTTAGTGTCATCCGTCCTATTCCAGTCACAAGTGGTGACAAGACATGGCAGGCAAGTGAAATCACCAATACACGTCCCTGATGGAGACATTTAAAAAATGCATTGTCATACAATGCCAATTAAGTTTTGACCTATTTGTGCACACAAAGTTTGGATAATATTTAACTACTAGCAAAATACCCGCGCTTAGCAGCGGTAAGCCTTTTTTAAAGACAAAAAAAAGTTACAAAATTATCAAGTCTCCGCATATTTCATATACTATACAATGCATTAACTTGTAAGAATCAAACCTGCCTCAAATCAATGCCAACTTTTTGTAGGGTCTGTCCTTGGGACACCGATCCTGGTAAGACCCCAATTCTAATGAGTCCCTAATCCCATTCTGAACCCGACCCCGGCGCAATCCCGGTTTTATCCCGTTCCCGGTGGAATCCTAATTCTTTGTGGCTCCGGATCCAGGGGAAATCCAGATCCCATTGGGATCCCGATCCCGTCGGTGTCTTGATCCCAGGGAGATCCTGATCTCAGTGGATTTCGATGCAATTTCGATACCGTTAGGATACCGTTCACTGTGGGATCCCGTTCCACCTATGGACTCTCTTTTCCAATGTTATCTCTTTTCCTGATAGGATCCTGAGCCCGGTTTGAGCCCGTTACCCGATGGGATATCGATGGTATCCTGTTCCCCATGGAAACGTGTAACCGATGTGACCCATTAGGATCCTGTTTCTCTATGGGATCATGCTCAGTGCGATTTTGTTTGAATAAGCTTTTAGATCTAATTACATATCCACGGAGAACAATATAGAACATTCTAGATTAAATTTAATATCCTCCATGAAACGTGTAAAAATCACATATCTACGTAATTATTTTTCGAATGCGAAATATTAAACAACTAAATTGTGCTACTAACTATAATACATTTAAATTGATACGGGGGCTCCTCTGGGGGCCCATTTAATAAAGTACCGTTTTGTTTATGTCTGAGATGGGTGGCTTATAAAAATCATTGACATAAATTAAACATTTAAACATGTCCTATTGAAAGTGGTTTACAAATGCCATAGACATAGCTTATTTAAACTATCGAAGTTTCTAGAAAATTCTAGATCGGCCTTGAATGGATCGGATATTAAATCAAACGATATTTTAAAACCAACGGAGAAGAGTATTGCTACAAAGCAAGGTTTAGATCCACCTAATCACATAGAACCTACGGTGTTGTCTAACCCTATTGATATCTATATAGCTTATATAAGAAAAAATGAAATGGGGCCCCCGGTCCCAAACATTTTAGGGTTTTAAAATAACACCTGCCTAACTTTTGTATGTGAGCTGTAAGGAATAAGCCTGCCAAATTTCAGGCTGCCATCTACTCGAGAAGTTGGAGAATTAGTGATGAGTCAGTCAGGGCTTTGCCTTTTATTAGAATAGATTACTATTGATATAATGGCGCGTTTAAATAAATTTCTCTTGATTAAATATTAATTGTATTATTAAGATGGAGATGTGATAGTATGACGTATGACTGACGAATAGTGTATGTATTGGGTGAACTTTGTGACCTGATTGTCCCGGGGTGTTGTCATGTTGTTCGACTGGACGTGGTGAGTTGTGTTCATGAATGTTTAAAGGTGTGCATATTGGCTGGAGAACTGTGAGTGAGTGATCATGTGATGGATACTAGGTTAGGGTGACCAAATCATGAACTGGAAAAATCGGGACACACCCAAGGGGAGATACCCTCTAGCTAACGAGGGGTCCGGGGGTCTCATTTTAACTATTTTGAGACCTAGAAATCTTTTAAAATTTATCTTCACTTTTGTAATTTAATTTAAATTCTGAGGCATATCATAAACGAAAATTATAATTTTGCAGTGATTTCTTATTTATTTACACATATTTTACAAAATAATTACAAGAAATTAAATTTCTTTAGTCTAGGATTTAAATTGAGGATATGTGGCTGTTGTCCCAGCCATTGTTAAAACCTCCTTCTTATCTAATAAAAAGTTGTCAAAACTAGAACAGTCCATTCGTATCTTTCGCTATACATATAAGATTTATGGCAGGGGCACTGACGTTTACGCAGCATCGGCAGAGTGGTGGAAGGGCAACAGTGTAGCCATCACGCGAGCCCATGTTACTACTGGCACTGGCTATACAGATAGCCAAAATATTAATTGAAGTTATATTATAAATTAGGACGTTTTGGTGATTTGAAAATGTGTTTGCTTTTAGACACGGGACATTCAGGCGTCCCGAGACACTTTTTCGGGACATCGGATACCATCGTGAAAAAACGGGACAATCCCGTTTTTACGGGACGTTAGTTCACCATATGCTAGGTATAAAAAGGATGTAGAATGAGGAATAAAGATTAGTGAGGACAGGCAGATCATAGACGAGTTGGGATCGTATATTACCATTACAGAAACATGCCAATAAACGATAACGGAGAAAGAGGATTTAATCACATACGATTTTTCAACCAATGAGCCATCGATTTGCTACACAAAGACAAAATGCTCACGTTGACTGCTGCTATCAGGTCCCAGACCCTCCAACCCCAAGGGAAAAAAATCCTTTTCTTCCGTTATCTTTAATTGCGATGTCTTCCTCTTTTATAGTATTTACTAACTTAGATGAAATAGTTTTTGTCACAGATCAAATATTTTGATATTAATTTTGTCTCGGAATAATGTATTGTTTTGTTAAGTAGAAGGGACAGGAGTCAGGGAGTGATGGAATAGAGAGTGAAGAACACGGATGAATGGCGGTTTGAATATATTTCTTGATTAGCACTTGCTTTGATTACTGTTATATAATGCAGCATCTTAATGTTGATTCAACCAATGTGAAGTGGAAGGAGTTATGACAATTATATTTGCTCTTATTTATGGGGGTGTTATTTCATGTGGTGTGCATTATTCAGTAAATAAATGCTGTGATGCAAACTCTTAGTTTTGGCCATCGTGCTTTGTTAGATAATCATGGACGTCTGTGAATGTGAATAAATAATATATATAATAACTACAAGTAACATCATCTCTATATGATCGTTACAAATCGTGTCAGAAGTTTTAACTAAACTTAAATTAACTTAATGGTCGATTATTTAAAATTGATTTTATTGGAGTTCTTACTTCATTCTCCTACTAACGTATTATATGCAATCATAAAATTCAGTTGTCTTTGTCTGGTTAGAGTAATTGCTAAACCTTTGCAACACTAGAACGTACAATTTGATAAATAATGAACTTAGTAACAGACATAAATCACATTGGAGCACACATTGGATATCACAAGTGTATCTTATTAAAAATCATTGTTTTTTTCATTCTAGTTCCTGCAAACCACATACTTGAGACATGATAGCCGAAGGAATCTAATGATGAGCTGCCATGCGGCATACTCATAGGTACTTAGAAACTTTTTTATTATTTATGTCTCTAAAAATGCATAACGTCCTGAAATCGAGCATTTTTATTAACATCACGACATATTTTTTTCAATTTAAAAAAAAACAAAACAACTAATGTCCTTGTCGCACATTTACAAAAGTAAGTTTTTAAATATAAATTCTTTTAAATAATGGACATTTCTTTTCCTTTTTATAGTGGCTTAGCCTTGAAATCGACCTGCTTCTCCACACAAAAGAGTTGTATAAAGGATAACATCAATAGTCACACTTAAAACATACATTTTAATAATTTCCTAGTCTATAGGATTAGACTCGTTTTGTGCCCCATAATATCAGTGATGATTTCTGAGTATTTTCTTAGTACACAATAGTTTCAACTATTTAAAAAAAAACATAAAAGCTAAAAATGGCACTTTAGCTTTTCTGCCATGAGACCAACAGTCCATGTTTAACTTTCCCTAACAAGACCTGGTGTGATGGCCCTAGCGCGTGAAGAAAAGAGCGGGTACCCCAGTCATGGTTCAACCAACGCTAGCTATCTGTTCAGGTTAGCGTCTTTCAGATCATTTGTCACATACGACCCCCACGTTTCCTTTATCCAGCTAGCAAGCTCTGGGTTTTATTACGCGGGGGACAATCGCTTCATTAAGTGTCAGGCATGTGGGAATGCTGTCGTAATTTGGAGCGTCGCCTCTGATCCATCCGACGGAAGGTACCACAGAGACACTTGTTTGTATGCCGTATCTGGGAGCCAACGTTCCGAAGGCGACGATGATCTTCAGACAGATGGATGTACGGCACAGCCCCTGCCAGCTACGACCTACGACGAAGTTACTGACGCACAGCCACGCGGCCGTGGGGTTGGTTCTACGGCGAATAGCAACCATGACGTCTTCACTGCTGATGTAAACAGGTCAGGCCATCACACCAGGTTAAACGTGAACAGTTCAAACAGTTTAATGCCCCAGGAACAAAGTAATGCAAGTATCGATACACCTTACATGCCCCGGGAAGACGCTACCAGTATCGATACACCTTACATCCCATGGGAAGATGCTAAGAATGAAGCTATTTCGCGTAAGTATGATTGAATACTTGAAAACTTGATTGAATACTTTTATAGCCTTGTGTCCAAGCTATTTTAACATTTAGGGAAAAGAAAAGTCTTTAAATGTCCCTTAAATGATTGTTTTATCATTTTCAATTATCCTCAAAGATTGAGGAAAACTATAGATACCTAATAAAAATCACATGTACGTGATTCTCAACAATAGTTCATATTAGTCAGTGGAATTGGGCGATTGTCTGGCCACGATCTTTTTACGTGCTCATTTGGATAAAGCCATCTGAAATACATGTTTGTCACTGTCATAATTGGCAATATAAAGCCATCTGAAATACATGTTTGTCACTGTCATAATTGGCAATATAAAGCCACCTGAAATACATGTTTGTCACTGCCAAAATTGGCAATATAAAGTCATCTGAAATACATGTTTGTCATTGTCATAATTGGCAATATAAAGCCACCTGAAATACATGTTTGTCACTGTCATAATATGCAATATAAAGCCACCTGAAATACATGTTTGTCACTGTCATAATGGGCAATATAAAGCCATCTGAAATACTGGTTTTTCATTCTCATAATTGGAAATATTTTTAAATTCATATTTTATTATTAACATATCAATGTTATTTTAAGCACAATAGGTATTTATATTAATAAATAATTTCGTATGCGCTTTTTCCAGCAATAGAACCACCCCATACAACTAGAGTGAGGACCCACACTTCCAGCGAATCATCGGGATACACCTCTGATGATACTTTTTGTGAGTATATGGGATTGTAATTTGGACGGTGCAATAATCGAAAATTCATTATTTCAAAAAATTTCTTTCAATTATTTAAATCTTGTTTTCTTTCCATGAAAACGATGAAAATGTAGATACTGATTTTAAACCGGATAGAGTATAACATTATATGCTTGACAGTCAGTAAAGATAATTTTTGCTGAAAAATGTATAATCTTAATGTAATTATAAGTATGCACTCATTCTAAGTTTTATAAGAAAATACATTTTGTAATTTATTTTTAAAAGTTAAACGTTGACTAGCATTTAACCTGCACCACGTTTTAAACATCAACTCATCTAATTCAAATTACCTATATTCTATTATTCCACTGATCAGACGATTTAGACTTATGCAATCCTGAATGCGCAACATGGGATTCAAATTCAACAGCATGCTCAAAAAATCCGGGCCACTTTGCGTACTTCCCGATTCACCCACTCACCCTGCAACAAATCCCTTCCTCGGCAAGACATCCCGATGTCATCACATTCTTGAAGCTCTGTGCCGATCTCACCGTCAGAATAAACATCTCCAACGTCAGCAAGCGACGCTCCCCCTCGGACCCACTGCACAGTAAATCATCACACATGCGATACGGCACAGGCTTCATGCTGGAAGAACCCATGGAGCTGACCACAGGTCATACGGCAACACAAGCAGCAAAATCTTCAGGAAGGTGGAGCGAAATCATCAGAAAGCGCTTGCCACTGCTTAACAAGAACAAGACATCTGAAATATACATCAGCACGAATCGCCATTTAGTCTTTGACGAGATGGAGGCCAAGAGAACGGTGGTCGAGTTCAACTTTGATCACGGCAGCAAAGTCGCGCTAAAAGTAAGCAGAATGACGAGAAGCACGACCTTCCCGGGAGACAACTGCGTCACCCTGGTCTGTACAAGCTCGGACCTCGGCCTGATACAACGTTTGGTGCGCACGAAGGACGAGATCGCCAAACTTTCGGAGAAATTTCCGCGAAAAGTCAAGGAGTGCATGACGAAGAAACTGTTCATCATCCACCACCCGCATGGGGGCGACAAAGTTTTGTCCTACGGAGATTCCGTCCGGGTCATGTACGCTATGAAGGAGGCGGAGAGTAACTCTAACCGCAGACTTGTAAAATTAAGCGGTCAGCCGAGTCTAGGTAATTTAATCCTAGATAATAACACATTATTATTCAATATGCATCTTTTAAAAAATATTCAGACAGTCAATACCTTGCCTGAGTGTAAAAAGATTTTTTGAGGCTCTATGGCAAAATACATATATAAATATAAACTCACTGATGCCATAATTAAACAGAAATGAAGTTATCTAATGCTAAGTATGATTTCGGTTCTATAAATAGCTAAATCATATCCAATACCGGTGAATATTTATTGCTTTTTAAGTTCAAAAATGAATTTTTTACCAGCCTCCAGGTAGAAAATGTGGTACATTCAAATGTTCATGCATTAATTTCGGTTTCCTTGTCTTATTTTGAGTGTGCTTGTTTTAGAGTTATGTGAGCCTGTTATAGATTCTTAGTAAACCTCTAACACATGTTTGACAATGTTTAAATATGCCCCATTTTTTTTACAATTTATCATGTTTAAATATTCTCCATGTTTGAATATGCCCCATGTTTGAATGAATTCTCCATCTGACCACAGCACACTATGATTCCAATGATTCTCTGAGTAAAGCTCTCATGTACGCTGCCGACACGTGTGAAGGGTCCTCGGGGGCGCCAGTCATATCCTTCAAGAGCATCTTTGCCAGCGGAGGCACTCGTACGTTTCACCTGGACATCTGGATGCACAACGGAGCAGACATATCAAATAACCTTGGAGTATCAGCTCTGAAAGGTATCACGCTACAAAATGGACTCTTATCCTTGGCATTATAAAATCTCGTTTCATAACCAAAATATAAAAAAGGGTTTATAATTATTTCCTGTTATATTTCCTCAAAGTTTTTCTTAGAACTCCCAATAAATCCTTTTCTTTTAGTAAAATATGCAGAGACTCGATTGTTCCACATTTTTTACAGATTCGAAACAAAGAAGTAATAAAAATGGCTTTTTTTTTCCTTTTTTTTTTTTATGTGTTAAGCCCTCGTTAAATTAACTCTCAAACTTTTAATGTTAGTGTCTTTTTTCTTAAAAGTTTACAGTCAAGAAGAGCTTCATTCAGACAACAGACTCAGGCAGCTCAATGTTGCCAGTCAAGAACGAGACGAAAGCGATGATGACACAGATAATCAAGAGGTCTCATCTCCTGTCTTTAAAGTAACCAGTCACCCATCCTACCCGGCTTACGTCGTGCATCAGAAGCGGCTAGAAAGCTTTGATAACAGTGAGTTGCCTTCATTCCTCAGACCTGGACATCTGGCGACGGCGGGATTTTTTTATGCAGGTAACACCATAGAACATTCTGATACACAATTATGGTACTTTGTATGCAGGTAGCACCATAGAACATTCTGATAAACAATTATGGTACTTTTTATGCGTGTATCACCATAGAACATTCTGATATACAATTATGGTACTTTTTATGCAGGTATCACCATAGAACATTCTAATACACAATTATGGTACTTTTTATGCAGGTATCACCATAGAACATTCTAATACACAATTATGATACTTTTTATGCAGGTATCACCATAGAACATTCTAATACACAATTATGGTACTTTTTATGCAGGTATCACCATAGAACATTCTGATATACAATTATGGTACTTTTTATGCAGGTATCACCATAGAACATTCTAATACACAATTATGGTACTTTTTATGCAGGTATCACCATAGAACATTCTGATACACAATTATGATACTTTTTATGCAGGTATCACCATAGAACATTCTGATACACAATTATGGTACTTTTTATGCGTGTATCACCATAGAACATTCTGATACACAATTATGGTACTTTTTATGCAGGTATCACCATAGAACATATTTTAAAGTACCATAATTGTGTATCAGAATGAAATTCTATATTTGTTTACAAAACAAACAATGATGCAATATTATAGTTAAGAAATACTGTCAAATCCAATAATGGACATGTTTTTAAGTACCAATACATTACTAACACAATCTCTGATGAAGCATACAAATTGTAACAATCGAACAAGTGATATGTTTGTAAAGACCTAATATAATAAGACACCCGATTCTACCTTCAATTACAACTATAGTAATCCGATGGTAGACCTTTTCGGTGTAGACAATGATGCGCATTTATTCCAATCCTTTTTTCTAGGTTACTCTGATTGCGTCCGTTGTTTTCAATGTGGACTCGGACTAAGGTCGTGGAAACATGGAGATGATATTTACGTAGAACACGAGAAGCACAGACCAAACTGTCAGTACCTTCAGATACAGCAGAAGTCCAGGCGTAACATTACGTCTACAAATGAGATTGAAGAAGGCGTAACTTCAACTTATCGGGGTGAGTTTTTTTTTGGACACGACTTATATAATTTTTTGCTCTTGTGAAACATTTCTCGTGTGTCACTCATACATTGGGCCCCTTTCGCATTTGTTTAAAATAATATAAATGTTTTAATTCCAAATAGTTTGTTTCTGCTCCAGTGAAAAGCCTCCATGCGCTACCAAGTTGACCACTGCTCCCTTTGCCATGAGCATTTCAGGATTGGTCTCGCTTAGTAATGCTGGGCAGAGGCGGCACATTTAGCGTTGCCAACCGTGGCAGTGGCGGCACACATAGCCTTGTGACCTGATGCGGCATCTCCACCATCCCACACTCATTACAATGTAATAATAACATATTGAGATAAAACTAAGACAAACGAAGCTGACTTCAGTACACAATTATTCGTCTTAATACAAACAAATGTATGAATACTCTAAGAACCCTTCCTTCCCCTGAGGCCGGGTAATTTAACTTGCATTACATGAATAACTTAAGCACAGAGTAATATAAATAACAAATTATATTTACACTAAACTAGTGTAGAGAGACTAGAAAAATAAACTTTTTTACATACAATGAGTATAGCCATTTGGAATGACTAATTAAGAACAATTATAAAGCCGTGTTTCTGACGAAAAATGAAGCCCATTAACTAAGTACACTGACATCTAGCTGAATTGGAAAAAATGCCAACCTTACAAACTAGTGAATGGTATATTCCAATCATGTTGCAAGGTAGTCATGCATTACCTGGCGTCGTTGACAGTCAGATGTCAACTACCAGCAAACTACAAGACGGAAGTGAGGATTGGTTAACTTTGCCGGCCGAAAGTCCTTCTAGTAGGCAATTGGTTACCGGTAAAGAGATATTTCTGTTTATTCCTCACAACACAATTAATTATATGGTTGTTTCTGTTTAAAAACATGGCGCCATCTTTAGGTTTTACAAAGCAGGCAAATACAGCCATTTTAAAATGAGTGCATGGAATAAACTTTTTTTTTTCCCGTAAAATATCCTCAGAAAAATAACCTGGTAAAAATACGGCATAGATATATCTTTTATAATGGAATGCTCATGCCGGCGTTCATATATGACTAGTGACATACGACTAAGTTGTTGTTGTTGCTTTTTTACGTGGTGTAACTAAAATAAATGTGACAGAGGGCAGAATGATTTTTTTTTTTTTTAAAGTCTTGGCATATTTTGTTGTAATACCTCTGGAGTACATATAATTTTTGTGTATGCCTTATCAAGTACATATAACCGTTAAAATAAATTGAACCGGCCTTAGTTTTCAAAAAAAAAAATGAATTAAAGGAAAATTAATCCAATTAAAAATTGTGGAGCAGTTTTTGGCAAATAAAATAATGGAGAAAAATAATAAAATGTTATTTTACTCTATCAGATGAACATGAATAATTCTATTTTTAATAAAACCTGGGGAATTTTTTTTTCTCTAAATTAATTAAATAAAGAATTTGCCAATGAAATTGCGAGCTCCGAAAAGGTTTTAAAATTTGTTTCCATTTAAAATCATTTATTGTTAAATGAATTAAACATAAAAAAAGTTATTCGTATTTCCCTCTCAGATTCCTCAAGCGCTGTCAGTGACAAAGATGTGATCGTCACTCTACTGGAACAAGAAAACGCCAAGTTAAAAGATCAACTGACTTGCAAAGTTTGCTCTAGAGCCCAAATAAAAGATTTGTTTCTGCCGTGTGGGGATCTGTACGCCTGCAGCGAATGCTCCAGGCTTCTGACGCACTGTCCTCTCTGCAACAAGCAGATACTGGCGACTGTCAACACATTTTTTACATAAGTTTTCTCGCATGGACATGAGGGCAGGATTTCACAGGATGTACACTTGATATGATTCGTGGCCATATATGGACACCAGTCGCACAGTCTGAAAATAAGTCTTTATGAATCAAATTACAATGTCAAATCATTTAAAACACTGGTTGAAAGGTAGGACTTTTCAATGTGATCTTCATTTTTTTTTTAAATTTTCGAAACTGACATTGAAGAACACATTTTCAAGCCCCTGAAATGAATCATGTGTTAAAAAACCTAATTTATATATCATACATTTTTAGAAATATTTCATTTTAATGTTACATTTGTTACATGTTAATTATATTTTTGTATGTCAACCATGCTCCTTATTGTCATGTGTTTACAATATTTAATTCTTGTCATTTAATTCACCCAAAAATGTGTTACCATTATAATTTCACACGAATTTTGATTCCCTTCTTACTCTATCAGAATATATGAATCGATGTTATCGGGATAATAATGGTAGATCCTTTGCGATAATTTCTAACTGCTATTGCAAAAACTCATCACAATTCATAACTTTATAAATGTAATGATATTTACCTTTCTAACATCATTAAGTTTTGAGAAGAATTCATCTGCTATATATTATACGCCTACCCTACTCCCTTCCAGGCTTCTAAACTACTTTTTCCCCACCTCTAAAATGACCTTAAATTACACAGTCTAAATTATCACTAATTATTTCACTTTTGTCACTAAAGAAGTTAATTGACGGACTATTGCTACGTTAGAGAAATACTTTAGATTTAGCACTTTTTGTGCCCTTGAATTACAATTTTGTTCTCTAAATATTGTTTAAAAAACTTACCTTAAAATTACACCAAAAACTCTATATATGATGTAACAATATTTTATATTATAGGAATTTGATATATATTGATATCTTCAGCAAAAATTTAAACACATTTTTGCCTTTAATATATATATATTATCAGAAAGTCGTAAAACAAAGAATTCTTTTATCTGAAGAAGAATCGCGCAACCGTTTTTCACGTTTATAACATATGTGAGTGTTGTTGTTTTTTAAATTTAAATGGTTAATCTCATAAAATAGACATCTTTTTACTTTTTACAAAGTAAAAACAAAAATATATTTTAAGTTTTTAAAAGTAAATATTAACCCATATCTATTTTTCAAAATTACTTTTTCAAGTGTGTAAAATGATTGGGTTTTGATATTCATTGGTATACTTATATAAATGTACCCAAGATTTGTTAACGCCATTGATTTTCTTAATTGGTAAACATATGTTTATTTGTAAAAAGAGAATTTACCTTCTCTTTTTTTACATATGTAAAACCAAAGGAGTTAACTATGTTGTCATCCACGTAAAAATGTACACATGTTATTTCCTACCTCCAACATGCATTTACCCAAGAAAATTAATTATTTATCAAAATCAATCATTTCTTTTGAGACGTATCTTGTGCTGCCTTGGGCAAAATGAAGATACCCATATTTGTAAAAAGAGAATGTAACATCTCTTTTTCACAATTGTAATATCATTGGATTTAAATATATTGTCACCCACGTGAAAATTTACACATCCTATTTCCTACCTCCGAAATGTATGTACCCATGAAGGTTAATTATTTATCAAAATCATTCCTTTATTTTGAGATGTACCTTGTGCTGCCTGGGGCAAATTGACCATCGCCTCCCCCACCCAGATTTAAATAAATTTAGAAAATCTTCCACCGGATTGTAGTCCCTTCCACACCTAAACTAACATATTTGCACTTCATATGGTTCGTTCTTTTTTGTATGAGTTATACGTGGATTAGTGAATGCCATTTAGCTATGGATTTGCGCTGAACTGATTGACTTAAAATAATTTTCTTACTAGAATTATATTTAAAGGTTAGTCTTTATTACGTTATAAATTTAATAAAAGTGTATTTTTGGAATCAAAAAAGGCAAAACTTTTTAAAAGTAAAAATATACAAAGTAAAATTGTGTGTGTGTTTTGTTAACAATTTATAAAGCAATCAATTGTATTTATTAAATTTACTTTTTAAGAAGGGAAAATACATTAGCAGTTTTGTCACACTCGGTTATTAAATTTAAATAAACCTAATAGTTTTTGCCTCTTAGGCTTTTTGCGCAATGACGTCATTTGCCTTATTATTTAGAACAAATTAGTTTCTATTTTATTTCTCAATATTAACAACGCACTAAAAGACGCACTAAAAACGACTGATGCCTGGGTTTTCCCGATAAATATGATTACGGTGTTATTCTTTGATCATGATTTTTTAATTTTTAATATTTTTATAACTTTCAAACACATATAAAATGCTTAAAATAGTTCCTTAGTTGATACTTTAAATGTTTTTGTAATTTATAATAATATAACTTCAACTTTTAATAAAATGAAAGCGGATTTAAAATATTTTTTGCGCATTTAAATTTATTTGATTTCCGTAAAATAATATAAAAGAACTATGATTGTTTTTAGGAATCCTAACGTATTTAAATCATATCTCCCTTTTGGCGTTATGTCACCCTAGCTCATTCTTATATATATATTTGACAATATTTACATTTTTTATAATAATGTATTTCAGACCAGTTAGCACCTAACAGGTAGCATGTAAAAAAATGTTCTTACCAATATATATATATATATATATATATATATATATATATATATATATATATATATATATATATATATATATATATATACAT